CTAAATTATATATAGCTATATGCATTTTATCAAATGGTTTCTTTGCTTTCATGTCAGCTTTCTTGACAATAAAATTGTTTGGTGTCACCGTTAACCCCATCTTATTAAGGTACTTATATTATTTTTCTCAAAATCATATTACTTTTATTTAACTTTTTTTTTTTCTAAATTTCAGTGAAGCAACTCCTTTCTTGATAATAACCGTAGGTTTTGAAAAACCTTTTGCTTTAACAAAAGCTGTTCTTACAGCATCTTCTCCTTTAACCCCTCAAATTGAAGAAAGTAGATCTGCTACAATTCCTTTCAATGTTCGTGATAATGTGATGGCTGGTGTAACTAAAGAAGGTCCAAAAATAATTAGGGATTATTTTATCGAAATTATTGTATTATTTATCGGCGCTGCTAGTGGTGTTGCTGGTTTACAGGAATTTTGTTTTTTAGCTGGTTTTATATTATTATATGATTGTTTGTTCTTATTCACATTTTATACTGCCACTTTGACTCTTAAACTTGAGGTAATTAATCTTTTTCTTATTTATGTTTTTTCTTTTTTACCTTTGTTTATTAATTAATAATTTTCGATTTATAATTTAGTTGAAACGTATTCGTAAAGCTGAAAAAACTATTGAAAAAGATGAAATGAATAGTAGTCCTGCGAATTTGGGACGAAACATTTTAATGACTCTTCATGATAGTAGTGTTGATGCAAAAAAATATGATAATCCAATGATTTCAAGGGTTAAATTGTTAATTGTAAGCTTTTCATTAATTCTAAATTTTTGATTTTTTTTTTTTTTTTTTTTAATCTCATATTTACTTAAAATCTTTTCTGTTTTAAAAAGATTATTGGCTTTTTAATAATGCATGTGATGAACTTATGTACAACCCTTCATACAGATGATGATGTCTCTTCAGCATTTCAGACCGCAAAGACTGACGTTTATGATAATCCAACAACATTACCAATTTTAGATGCCATTCTTTCGCAACATCAATCGAGTCCTAAAGCTTCCTCACCTTTAATTGTTGATGTGGCATCACCAATAATATTTCGAACTGTTCAAAGTGATGTAATTGGTAGTCAAACAACATTCCTTCAAGCGTTATATAAGATATTTGATACCATCTTGAATTATTGGTCTATTTATGTTCAAGATTCAGTACTTTCGACATTGTTCTTTATTGGATTGATTTTTTCCATCATTTTGAATTGTTACCTTTTGAATACGCATAATCAAACAAAGTCTAATGAAGAAACTTCTGATGTTGTTATTACTCCACCTACTTTGAATATGCATAATCAAACAAAGATTAATGAGGAAACTTCTGATGTTGTTACTACGTCACCTACTTTGAATACTACTTCTCATAATAATGACTCAAAGATAGACCCTCGACCCCCAAAGGAAATCTTTGATACACCTAAACCTTTAGAACCAATTGATCCTACGGTCATGTCTGATGAAGATGTTCTTTTATTGGTTATTAATGGAAAAATTCCTCAGTATAATTTAGAAAAAATATTAAAAGATAATGAACGTGCTGTAAAAATACGTAGAGCTTTTATATCACATACATCAAGCACAAAAACGTTGAAAAATTCTGCTTTACCTGTGGAAGGTTACGATTATTCAAAAGTTACAGGTGTATGCTGTGAGAATGTAATTGGTTACATACCAATCCCTGTTGGAGTTGCAGGGCCCTTGAAAATTGATGGAGAATTGTTTCATATTCCAATGGCAACGACTGAAGGATGTTTGGTGGCATCAACTTCTAGAGGGTGTAAAGCAATTAATGGTGGTGGTGGCGCCAGAACTGTTGTAACACAAGATATGATGGCTCGTGGACCTTGTGTAGAATTCCCTAACATAATACAAGTTGAAAAGGCTAAAAATTGGTTAGAAAATGATGGAATTGATATTATAAAACAAGCATTTAATTCCACATCTAGATTTGCTAGATTGAAGAAAATAAAAGTTTCTGTTGCCGGAAAATTATTGTTTATTAGATTTTCTACAACTACAGGGGATGCGATGGGAATGAACATGATTTCGAAAGGATGTGAGAAATCACTTGAAGTGATGAATGAACATTTTCCTGATATGCAAATAATAAGTATCAGTGGAAACTATTGTACAGATAAAAAACCCGCTGCCGTTAATTGGATTGAAGGACGTGGAAAATCTGTAGTTGCAGAAGCAATTATTCCTGGTGATGTTGTAAAAAAAGTACTGAAAACCAGTGTTGAAGCACTTGTGAAATTGAATATCTCAAAGAATTTAGTTGGAAGTGCGATTGCAGGTAGTATTGGAGGATTCAATGCTCACGCTGCCAATATTGTTACAGCAATGTATATTGCGACCGGACAAGATCCAGCACAAAATGTTGAAAGTTCAAATTGTATAACGTTAATGGAAGCTATCGATAATCTGGTGACAAATACTAAAGATTTACACATTACATGTACAATGCCATCAATTGAAGTAGGGACAATAGGAGGAGGAACAATTTTAGGACCTCAGAGTTCCGTACTAGAAATGTTGGGTGTAAAAGGACCTCATCTAACAATTCCAGGAGAAAATGCAAAAAAACTAGCAAGAATTATATGCGCCAGTGTTATGGCAGGAGAATTAAGTTTATGCGCTGCATTAGCTGCTGGACATTTAGTTAAAAGTCACATGATACACAACAGAGCTACTGTAAGGCATGATCAACATGTACATATATCACATCATACACATTCACATTCAAACACACATGTTATATCAAATACAACTTCAATACCTCCTGTTATTAATAGTATTGAAAATTCTGGAATAGAAAATGTATGTGATTCAAAAATATCTACTCCAGGATCTTGTTTAAATTCATAGATTTAAATAACCCAAAATTTTAGTTTTAGTATAGAAAATAAACTTTTTATAATATTGTAATTTTTTAATTTTTATTTTTTTTTCTTTTATTAATCTTTAATAAAAAAAAAAAAAGAAATTGATTTTCAAATTTTACAACTTTTCAAGAGTATAATGTTTTAAGCATTTTTAAACAGATACAATTTTAATAATTATAGAGAATAACCATTTATATTTAATGTAGTGGTTTTAGATTTTTCACTCTAAGATAGAATTTAAAAACTAATTATATTTTTTATAATTAAATCAGATTAAACCTGGTTTTTAATACTTGAAAAAAATAAACCAGATTCAAACCTTATCTTAAGATTCTATTCCAGCATTGTATATAAAATTTAATATTTTAGGATTGTATATGTTTTGTAGATTTTTATTTTCTCAAGATATGTGAATGACAAGTGAATATCCTGAAGCAAAAGATAAAACAGCATCATTTGCATGAAATTTCTCAAAGAATTATTCTAAAGCTATAAAAACATTTAATTTATATATTTAATTGGTAAGATGTTTGAGATTCTATATACTATATATTACAGTGTAGTATTTTACAAATCACTATAACAATAAAACATCGAATTAAAAATTTTTCTTGTGAAATCTAGCCTCAACAATTACGTGTTTGTTAAATCCTAATAACTTTTACTATTTATACCATAAGAATCGAAATGTATTAAACTTCAAAGAATTCGTTACATGCTTCTCATAAACTGAACTTAGCCGATGATAAAATTGCAATAATACTTGTTCATACTCAAACTAGTATATAGGCTGTTTGAAATCGACTTTACTATTTAAGAGTTTGGTCAATTTTCGTTAATCTTTTATATTTGATAATCAGACAAACGTTTCTATATATTTCATGCTGAATTATAATTAATAATGCAAACATTTCTCAGAGATTATTTATAGTATTATGGCTATGACGTTTTATTGCCATATTGGCACTTCAAATAACCAATGACCAAATAAATTAGTCATTGGTCATTTGGTCATTTATATTTGAGATGACTAAATAACCTGATATGAAAAATTATATACACATTTGTCTGTATCTTATTGGCTGATATCTGGTCAGTTGCTCAATTATGTGATACTACTGATTTAAATATATATATATATTAGACAAATAATCTTTTTTTTTTTTTTTTTTTTACTTTGATAACCTTGTATAATTTATTAGATGTATATGAGTTTAAAAAAACTAAACTATCTAATATTCATAATTAGCTAATACTCGGCTGCTTTGAAAGCACTCAAGTATGGTTATCATACTGATATTTGTTAACAGAATCCACATGCACTGCTATACACATTTAAAAAACTGCTATAGTATAGTATTTAGCTATCTATAGTCTTTAAAATTTTTCCTATCTAGATCCGAGCAGAATAGTTTATTTTTTATATTTTCATAAGGGAAGAAAATAAATACCAAGTTTATAAAAGAAAGTTACAAATTTAAAAAAAAAAACAAAAACAAAAAAAAAAGAAAACAAAGAAAAAAAAGGAAAAATTAAGCTAAATTTCTAAATTAGATTCAATTATAAATGGAAGAAGATAAAAAAAGCAAAAAACCAATAACAAGAAAGTAAAATAAAAACAATAACAAAAAATGTATACTATTAAGTCTGTGTACTAGACTAAAAAATTATAACTAATACAACATTAGATATCTCCATTGTAAGACACAACCTTAATATAAAATTCTTCTCAACATATAACCAATATCAAAAATGATTATTATAAAATTTAATAAGCATGACTTTTTCTAACAATTCCTCATACCAAAAATTCCACTAATACTGACCTACAAATATTGTGTAGTTAGTATGTTTTTTTGTAACAAAATTTTGCCAAATAGCATCTAGGTTCAAGAGTTTCAGATTGTATATAAGCGCTATGAAATAGAGTTGAAAAAGACAGCTTCTTGTAGGTTTGGCTCTCCGGTAGAAATCTATGGAGCTATCAAACAAGTAGCTTTGGTGACAACCAAGGAAGTTTTTATCAAGTTATATCTGAGCAAGTACAAGAATAAAAGCTTGGATAAATATACTATTCTATATAACGTAAACTCTTACATTTCCTGTTTTAATACTTACTCTGGCCTGTTGTTTTTACTATTACCCACTTGTGCTTTCAACAAAATTTTTGAAAAAAGTGGGCAAAACAGCTTACCCTGTCAGAAGATTAGCATTGTTTACTCCTTTCAAATCTGGACAACCAGGTAGATTGCAACCATGTGTTTTGGGGTGATCATAATCAGTGTTGTTACTGGAAGACTGGAATCTCACTGGATGTCCAGATTTTTCCAATATTCTAGTGGTTCCAGTGAGAAATCCTACTGGAACGATTTTCTTACTGGAACATATTTACCTGATTGGCTAATCTAAATGTGATTATTAGCCAATCAAATTAGTTAGTTGGCAACTGAGCTTCCAAAGCAATTTAATGCAATATATTCAGTTTACTTTCCAACTCATCTTCTGAAACTGCTTCAAAATTCTAAAATAATGATTCTTTCTTTGTTCATATATCTCATTATGATAATATAATCAGTATTTTTTATATACTAATAACATTGTAAAATTTGTCAACAAAGTCTTTAACATTATTGCATGATCTATGCCAGATTATCCAAATTATTCTGGTTATCAAAAATAATCCTGATTATGATCTGGCAACGTTCATATAAATAGGTAGATATCTGGAGCTTAAATTTTATGCCGTTTAATCTTTGCTCACTATCCCTGGCGATTAATTCGAATCAGCCAATCAGAAACCACTGGAAGTCACTGGACGTCACTGGAACTTCCATTCCAGTGATAAAAATCTTCACTGGAATGGTCCAGTGACATTCGATCACTGAAAGCTATAATGCTTCTAATTTCATCCAGTTAAGTTCAGTCATCTTCTAGTTCCAGTAATTCCTACTGGAACGTTCCAGTGAGCAACACTGATCATAATAATAAATATGGTGCTACCTACAGAGGATCAGGACCTTTCATTTATTTTACATCCAGATTTGGTTGTACGTTAGAAAGAAGATTCTAGATAAAGTGAAACTTTATAGTCGAGATATACTATAGTTGTATTAGTTATATAATTTTTATTTAACCACAAACTATTTCTTGATAGAGATAGATTGGTTAGCCTGTCAAGACTTTTCTCTTTGTTTTTCTTTTTTTATATTTCTCTGTTCCCCATTTGTCTTCCTTTTAATTCCTCTTTTGATTATATGTTTGTTTTTTTTTAGTTTTAGTTTTCTTTTTGCTTTTTAATATTACTTCTGTATTGGTAATACAGAACTTTACTTTCTTGT